TAATACTGTCCTATGTCTTTACATCCACTGCGGATCCAAGCTCGATTTCTCTGTGGAGCGAGGTTGGCATGGTCTCATTTCCTTAGTAGTGGCCTACTCGGAACCAATTCCTCGCGTAATTTAACACAGTAACAACGTCAGCGCGGTCATGGTCAATGCGGAACCCACTGTCCTGGTCTTTTACATCTATTAAGGATCCAATCGATTTCGTTGAGGAAGAGTAGGGAGGAGTGTGGGCTTATTCCCTGACCAGTGGCCTATTTGGCATCTATTAATCTCGTCATTTAACACAGAAACAACATCGTGGCGGTCAAAGTCAATAAAGATGTCTCTCAAAAAAGTTAAAGACTTGTTCATTGTTTCGAATACGTTGAGGACGTGTTGCGTTGGTGACTCGTGGTTGCGGCTTTCCAGGAATTGTACATCTGAGTAAGATGCTCCTAAACGTTCAGCCAGACACCTCCAGTTTCCGGGCTTCGACTCGATGTCTAACAGCTTCATTAATGTCGTACGGACAGCTTCTGGAATCTTTTTTCCTTTAAGAGTGCGTTGCCGTGGCCAAATTCCGTATTGAAAAGGATGCCAACCATTTTCCTTTGAAAAACGAATGAGATCATTGAGAATCTTAAAGAATGTTGATTCAAAGGGGGAAGGCTTATGCTAATATCATAATTTGCAACCCCCTGAGGATTATCGCGGTAAATCTTTTTTTAACGATTTACAGCCCTAAAAAGCTGGTTAGACCTGATCACTCATGAAATACGCACAAGGAACACACTATTGGAGAGGCAAAAGTGGCCATCCTCGATAAATTCAAGTGCGTAGTCTTTTTTAATCAAACGAAAAACTTAATAAAAGGGCTTCGTCAACAGGAAATCATGGATTAGTGCCCACTAACCTTCATTAAGATGTGGAATTTCTTCATATATTCATCCCAATGAGCGAAGTTATCTTCACTATCTTCGCTTTCGTCTACAATGAAGGGAAAAACCGCGTTTTAACTTCCGTGGGTTTTTTCGGGGAGCAAAAACGCGAAAGCCTAAACTTGTGGTGTAAAACGAGCATCACGGGGGCGAAAAGAATCTGAATAGATGTGAACCCATCTAAAAAAAATCCAGTACTAATTAGAACTCATAATGCTTTAACATACTCTCGGGGAAGAGACAAAACAGCAACAATCACTTAACGTATTTGAGATATAAGATACTCGTCTTACACTATCCTATATGAAATATCTCAGGGGCGGATCCGGAAATATTTGTTGAGGAGAGTCCAGACTTTTATTTAGAAAAAAATATTTTCTTTTACTTAAGCCTTAATAAGACACTCGATGAACTAAGCGATATTTCAAGATAGATAAATTTTGATACTTCGTGTTGAGCATTACTAAGTGGTTCTGACGTTGAAAGATTTTTTCGGTTCCGGAGAAGTAGTTAAAACCGACAGGTCTCGCGGCTGGGGGCGGGGGCAGATCCCTACCCCTCCTCCCCTTCCGCCTCTTGGATCCGCCACTATAAGCGGAGTTTGGGGCATGAACGAAGGAATTAAAAGTCTTAGTCCACGGACCAGGTTGGAAGAAAGCTCACACTCTCATAATTTTTGTGGCTACTGCCTCCTATAGGGAGCGAGGCCACATATGTCGTCGAAATGTAGGAGTGAGTGATTGAGTGAGTGTAACGATGGAATGCCGAACTTCATCCGATTTTGACCCGATGTCACTTATCGTTTGTTTTGGTGTATTTTCGTAGTTCGACATTCACACCAGAGATTATAATCGCAACATATACTCAAGAAAGAGGGATGTCTTTCGAAACAAATTATTTTGTGCCTAAAAACCCAGGGAGTAATTTTTCAGTTCTTCTCGTGACATTATGGAACAGGATAAACATGCCATTTCACGATCGCCTCTCGCCGACACGTGATTAAAAAACAAAACAAAACTTTTCCCTGCAGAAATATCTTGATAGATGTGATCGGCACATCATGAAAAACTTAGAGGAAACGTTTTTCTTTGAAGAGAGAGCATTTCATCGTTTGAATCAGTAACTTATTATCTGATCTACTGAGAGTCTCCCTGCGTCGCAATCAATGTAGAAATGTACCCCATCAAACACTATCTACGTGATTAATTCAGGTTACTAAATCGATAAGGCGTACTTCGTAACAATTCTGCTACTGTGGCCTGCAATAAGTATTATCAGAAACTTAAAAGCTTCTGGTATGGCTGTAAGTAAGGTAACGCAATTAGTTGCATTGCTGTAAGTATTGTACCGTAAATTGTATTGTCCACTTAACGAAAAATTGTTTCTGATACTGGAATAAGAAAATTGAGAAAAAAAAACACTAGAGTACCGCAAAAAGTATAATATTTGAAGTAACGAAACGTAACTTTAGTTTTATTGCTAGTAACGCAACGTAATCAGTAGTAGTGTAACTCACATATAATAAATATATCTTATTAGACGTTTTGGTGTGTAGTATCGCTGAGTATTTTTACGAGTTGTGTCGTATTTTGACGAGCCCGTAGGGCGAGTCAAAACACGAACCCTAACACTTACCCTGCACTTATTGAAAAAAGTTATACATTGGTGAAACTGGAAGACAACTAGGTGACCGATTCTGAGATCACCTTCGCGGCGTTCTTGAAAGAAATGACAAGGACACATCCAAACCAGTAGCTAGACACTTGAATCTCCCTTATCAGTTTGCGGCCTTTCCCTACCTCTAGGCAGTTCAGAGAGCCGCAAAACCCCTAGGGCAAAAATGTTTCTTTCAAATCGGCACTCTCATTCCCCTCGGTATCAACGAGCGTTTTTCATTCAACTAATTTTTTTCGTCACCATATTTCCACGTGACAGAAATTTGTTCCACCTTAACAAAAGATATATGACTGTACGATCTACGGTGAAAAAAATTATGAATTTGGAATAATTGAATAACAATTATTCAATGACAAATATGCATTCAACTCACTATCTCTTTTCTGATTAACCGAAAGCGTGCAGTGAACTTTTGAAATCGGCGTCTGAGACGTCATGTAACTACAGACTATACAATAATCACGTCAAGGGCACTCAAGGACACTGGTAATCACGTCATGTATATGAGTGCAGTGCACGATTTCTAATGGTAATCATGTCAAATTCACGTGCTTTGTTTTGTTTGCTAATTTGTATATTTTAACAAGCTTAATAATACATTATCAGTTCCGCTTACTATGGTGACCATTCAACGATGACTGAGGAGCTGGAAACTCTCCACCAGACACGTAAAGCATAAAACAATGAATCATAAAACAATTTTCGTGTATCATAAAACAATTAGATTCGGTTTTGGTGATATCCGGAAAAATCAACGTCTCATTAAGGGTTATCAGCCGAAGCCTACTTCGACCTTGATTATTCTGAATATCACAAAGACCTCATCCAATAATTTATTAATATTATTGTTCTCCAATTCCCTTCCCGGACTTTAATATCAAGTTTTTTTTTCAGTAGGATCAGTAATTTCTGCTTGATCAAGATGTTTGATTGTACATTAAAACCCCACTAACACGAACCATCTTCTAACTCAAACACGGTCCACTTAACCTTGAATTTTACCCCTATTTTTCAGTCATAAACAGTCAACTCAAACTTGGTAATTGTAACTCCCTGTTAAATAGTACTACTACCCGGATAACTTGAACTTTATAATGGTAATTGAACCGAGTCGAGAGCAATTTGACTGAAATCATATGCGATTTCAAAACTAAACATGCGCGCAGCTCGAGTTTGAATTCACAAGTATGATTTCAGACCAAAATTGGATTAAAAGAAGTTCAATTACCACTTTAAAATTGCAAAATTCAGCCACTCAATACAAGTTTTTAAGTCTGTACAGATATTTTATTGATTCAGTATATTGAGCTGGTTTGACGTCTCGACCTTATGTCGCATCTATTGTGAAATCACTGGTGATCCTGCAATCTGATTGGCTTTCACCAGTGCGGTTTAATCACAAATCACACCACTTTTTTCTCAACCTATGAGAAAACTTTACAACCAATCCTTATTCAAACTTCAAGACTTGTTTAAAATAACCAATCAGTTAGAGGAAAAGGAAAGGCGGCATTTACAACTTTTTACATACTAGCTCAGTACTGGATCAATGAAATATCTGAAGACTGAAAAAATCCTGTATTTGGGAAGCTGAATTTTGCAATTTCGAAATGGATGTAATAAAGTGGCAATTGAACCATTGACTGATCCGTTCCCCTTCCCTTTTCTTAATTTTTGTCTATTTCTCCTCATTTTATTTTCTCCTTTTCCTTCACTCACTACAATTTTCAATGTCCACCGATTTATGAAGAGTTATGCTGTATACAGGGTGATGTTCAGAAGCTCGGAGTTGCAAATGTGGTTGTTCATTAACCCTTTACACCCTAGTATGCACCTTCTCCATACAGTTACCTAGACATTTCCTAAAGTGCTGAAAAGGAGAATTTGTTTTAACAATCAGGGGCTTCTTTAGTTGGTGATCATTTCCGTTATTCTCATGATCACAAATGAATGATTCAGCGGTACAATTGTCAGGAGAAACTAGATGCTGGTCACTCTTTGGGTTGAAAGGGTTGACTCACACACTCAAGAGATAAAGCCTATTGTAACTTACTCATGCGAGACCAGTGATTAACTACAAGGCACTTTACAGGGTTGAGTATCCATGATCTGACTCCTACTACAATACCAAGACAACCATGTCCAGCTGTTAATTCATACATCTCCATTTTGTTCCTTTTTCTCCATTTTTCCCCTTCATTTCATTTCCTTTTTTCCCCTTTCGTTTCTTTGAATCCCTCTTTATCTTATGTTCTCTCATTTTCTCTCACCTCTTTTTAATCTATGTTATTTTCACTTTTTTTCTTTTTTCTCTATTTTTATCTAATTTTCTCTTTTTTATTTCTCTTTGTTTTT